AAACCCTATAAACCCTCTAAGCCCTAGAAGCCCTGCAGTAAGCCGCCACGACACCGCGTCGCGCACGACCGCGTTGCCGGCCGCATCCAAGACGGCGGAGGGCGTTGTTGGCGGCCTAAAGTCAGGTTCGTCGGGGCTCAAGGGGCCCCCTATGGAACCCTAAGCCCCCTAAACCCCCATAAGCCCCATAAACCCTATAAGCCCCTAAAAACCCCACAAGCCCTAAACTTAAGCCCTATATAAACTCTATATACATCCTAGACCCTTAAATCCGGTTTATGGGTTTGGAGGCGGGCTTAGTGGTTGAGAGGGGTCAGGTCTGAGGCTTCAAGGCTTTGGGCCTGTCGGGTTTATGAGCATAGGAGCTCGGAGTTCGTGTTTTTGTTGGCAGGATGCGGCCTTTCTCCTTGCAGCGCTGGCCCATGTTTTCCCGGTTTAGAGCTGCGCAGGGTTATTAGTTTAGGGGTTAAGGGGCCTGGGTCTGAGGGCTGAGATTGCAGGATAGCTCGTCTCTACATGGCTCTGTGGCCTCGGCATCGCGACCCTAGACCTCGAACCCGAAACCAAACTCTTCAGCAACATGCCAAAAAGGGGGGGGGGGGGGGGGANNGGGGGCAAACACCTGCAAAGCCACATCCCGCTCAAGCTGTCGACAAGGCTCCCCCCGGAAAGAGCGGTTTCGGGTAGTCTACTCCGGGCCGCCAATGAAACAGGCCACGACATTGCACTGAAATTCCTCTGAATTTTCAGAGCAACATGTAACGCGGCTAGTGAGAATCCTTCAGCCACATGCAAATCCTAGACGAAACCACTCCACCCTGCCCACAAAGCAACCCTCGGCTGGTTCGTCGGTTGGCCTCACCCGCTCCATGAGGATGAACTCGGCCAGCTCGTCTTTGCTGCGGGAGTTCAAGATGCCTGCATGCGACATGTTTTGGTGTCGTGGGACTTGAGAAGTGTGTTGGACAGTATCCTAACGGGAATTACAACGTAGTTCTCCTACATACACTCCTACCTATAATTCTATAGCTTAGTGCCCTGAAGAGTCGCGTGTTGTGGCCCCAAAAGTCTCGTTCGGACCACTGGACACACCTACATGTGGGTAGTTCTCTAAATT